AAAAAAAGAATTCGTGTGTTAATTATGTACATCATAAAATTTACACTCATTAATCTTAATTTTAAAGTAATAAAACCGTAAGGCTATAATCAATAAACTGTGCGATATATTCGGAGTACGGGTTTCTTCTCGGAAACGCGTCTTTCAATTAAAAGGTACATGGTACACAAGCGACGTTTAATTATAACGACCACCGTTGCGATGTGCCTTCGTAAAACCGATTTAGTGACCGCATTTCTATTCTCGCATGCAATCGGAAATCAATAAAGCAAACCAAAGCGTTGTTTTCAGAGTGATCTCCGTTTACAGATAGGCGGTGCCATTTCTCGCGTCGATTAATTAAACCTAATGTGCTCGGGAAGCGATAAAGTCGAGAATTATGAGTCAAGATCTTGAGTCAAGAAAACGTTCTTGCTTTTACTTGCAAAAAAATTTGTAACTATCTTCATGAAAATTAAAATCATAAAAAAAATTAGAGAGAAGTATTTATAAATAGACTAGCAATTTTTTTTCAATATAAATATTTAACTTTTAGTTTTTTTTTAATATACATTTTAGTTAAAAAATTGTATATTAGTTATATTTTTTAGAAATGAGAATATTTTAAAGAAGAAAACACACGTTCTAACGCTATAAATGATACATTTATAAATTTGGTACAATTATATAGTGATATATTTTCCGGAAGAAGAAAACAAAGGAAAAAGCTTTTAACAAGGCTTCGCAAAATTTATGTGCGGCTGTGCAATTTGCGCAGAAGTATTTGTAGCGTTAAATTAGGATACCTGGCAAAGTAGGGGACTTCTTATCCAGGCATCCTCATTTAACACTGCAGTAGGAGATTATTTAATAAATCAGTGTCATTAAGGTACATTACGAATGCTAAAAGTGCAAAACGTGCCCGCCTGTAGGTATGTACTTATTACTGTAATTCCGTTTCTACGTATGCATTCAGCATTGCCCCGTTTCGGTACAAATGGGATTTCATCAGGCGACGGTAATGTAAGAAACGAGAAGGCATGTCAGAAATCTTGCAAATTATTGGCGTTAAAATATCGGAGAAAATATTCCGTACGTATAGCGCAATTTTCTTCGCGAGATGTAGTAACGTCAACAATAAAACTTTGTGACGAGACAATATATTTTTCTTCAAACTTGAAGATTATATGTTAATTATTTGCCGTAACACATAAAACTATAAAAATTTTTAAATCCTTTTTTACACACGATACTCTGGATCTTTAAAGATCATAACTTTCAGAAGATATGTATCGAGAACGCAGTTTTAAAGATGACATTCGCAGATCCCCAGGTGCGAGATCACGGTTAATATACGTGTACGCACGTGTATGAATCTATCGCGCTTAATGCCTGCACCTGTCGACGATAAGCACGACGAACGAATCGTGCGTGCAAGAACAACCTTGGGTTGCCACTACCCAAGTCATTACGTTAATTCTTGCGATCTTTTTCCGCGCGCTTTGAAAAAAAAAAAAAAAAAACGATTTCAAGTCGAACGAGCTGTGTGTGTACACTTCTTCTTGCGACGAACTTCGCGGCGCAACAACGAAATAAATCTCGTCGTGAGAAAGTGGCGAAGGCCACTTGCGATCATGTATGTATGTATGGCGTCGAAACTCGTGTGATAAATGACGCGGTGGAAAAAGCCTGCAAGAACGACATGAGATGAGAGGCGGATGAGAGCGTTGCGAGAGAGGAAGTTGCACGCGAGAAAATAAGATCACGTTGAGGGGAGAAAGGGGGAAACGAAGAAGGGAAAATCTCCTCAGAAGCGACAGCGGATTTTGCCCCGTGGGCGGTTGTATACACAAGGGATTTATAAACTTCCTGAGACCGCGAAAATTTACTCCGTTACCTGTCCGCGAACTTCTTCCTGTGGCCCGAGCAGATTTTGCGCGAAATGAATCGACCGGGCTGAGTGGTTCCATAAATTTCGGAGTGTCGCGGAATAATGCTGCCGGGACGTTGACAAATGTAAATAAGATTGAACTCGCATAGCGTCGGGTTTAATGCGCGAATCTGAGACGGGTGTGAGAAAAGAATGAAAGTTTTGCGCGTCCGCGAAGCGTCGGCAAAATGAACGGCGTATGTTTCTTCTTTCGTGCGATCTAACACGTTCAAACTTGTGTCATCCGGTGACACAGAAATGCAAGTTAAGTGAAAATAATTTATATGCGTACTTATATGCGAAAACTGAATATTATCGGTGTGTAAGTTAAATAGAAATCATTAAAATAGAATTAAAAATTTGTAATTTGCGTACAATTGTGTAATTAGATCGAAAGAATACAGAAGCGCGTGATAAATAATTCCGAAACTTTATAGAAAGATAAATCTATATCGCGAATATTCGCGTACAAACAAAAAAAAACAAGAATCTTATTACTTGTCTAACAAATGTTATTGTACGAAATTGTTTTTATCGCATAAAATATATCACTGATCAATGTATCTGATCAATGATGATTATAAAAAGAAGTTGTCAGTTCTATTTTCAGAAAGCATATCAACATTGGTACAAATTACTTTGCGTGATTTCTGTTCTTCAACAAAGACTCAAATTTGTTGGCTCGCTCAATCGATAATTCTCGAAGGACCTCAAGGACTTGATAATATAGGTACGCCGGATAAGGCGAACATCGTGACATAGTATATTCGCCCTTTCTGCGTTGACCTTATTAGCGATGCACATGGTGCCACGTTCATCGGCGCCACTCTCGAATATCGTGCAAATATTTTCTTGACATTTGACAGTCTTGAAATGTGTCTCACCGGTGCAAAATCAATGCGACACATTGCTCTAATCAAATGAAAAATCAACAAATCTGTTTATTTTATTAACAATTAAGACAACGGATTTTGCGAATGATATAAAATAAAGACAAGATTATTGGAGCAACATGAAATTTAAAAAATTCAATAGATTCTCCGGATAGAAGACGATAGAAGACGAGGGTTGTGTGTCATCGTCCGATAGACGAATACATCGGAAGCGAAAAATAGACCGACGAGGCACAATAAATACCGACAACAAGACCCCGACAGAGGAAAGGAGAAGAAAGAATAAAGAAAGCATCCTCTTCTTCATCGTCATCCCGAGGACTTTTCGAGAAGGTGATGTCGACGACTCTTCTCCTTCCAGGAACTTTTAATTTCCGGTATTTACCGGAGGTAGAGCTGTTCGGGTGGGGTAACAAGCGTGTGCACGGCACGGGAAATACAAGGAGTAAGAGGAAGGTGGCGGGGAGACGGTCGACTTATCGTTTACAATGATAGTCGTCGCGCGGCGCGCACGAGGGATCGCAATTGAGTTCGGTTCGGCGATACTGAAAAGCTCAGCGCTGCCGGCTGCGAGCTCTCGTTGGCTCCAGCTATTGATCGGAGGCCGACCGACCTGGGTCAGGGTGTAGCGGTGTGTGGAACTGCATCGGTGCAAACCATCTACGTGTGCAGCGCAAGGGTGTGGGTACGTGCACCCTTGCCGCCGTGCTGCACACACTCGCGCCGCTGCACACCGACACCGCCAGGGTCGTGACCAGGAATCTCACCCTCCCCTTCCCACCTTTCTCCGAACGAAATGCTGAAATAGCTGAATAGCGCCTTGTCTTTCATTCTTTTTCCCTCACGTTATTTTAAGCAGTCCTATAAAATTTTGAAAACTTATGCAACTGATACACGTCGTAAAATAGCGTGGAAAAAATATTAATAAAAAAAACACATTAACAAGTAGAATAATAATAAATCTGTTCTTTTTGCGTATTATTAATTATTGTAAAATGAAAATTGTGAGACACATAATAAGATACTATCTTTTCGCAATACTTTAATAGATTTAAATTTAAAACTACTGTGTAAGAGATCGCTCTTGTGTTTACGTGTATTTAACTGTTTAATAATTGTGTAAAACAATTCATTTTAAGAGACTTGATTGGTTTCGAATTTATCTCACACAGAATCTACTACTTATGTCTATTTATGTCAATGTTTTTTTCGCGGAATATAAAATTTTGCCCATAGACGGGCAAACAATTTCATCTCTAATGATGACCCTGGACGTTTTGCACATGAGCGCCAGGGCTGCATGGGCTGCATCTATCTGTTGTAACCACGCCACGAGCAACGTGAACCACGAGGACGGAGAGCGCGCGCGCGGGTGCGCTATCACATTATTTACCTACCTTACTTGACTCTCGCGCAGCCTTGTGTAAATATATATATATATATATATATATATATATATATATATCTGTGCTGGTCGGCCGAGGTCGCGATAAAATTCACGCCGGAAAAAAGGAACGACGCGCGAAATGGTCCATAGGAATTCCGGTAATACCGGATCGGCCCGCTAACACCGGAATCCGCGGCCGGGACACGCGCCCGCCGCAAAGAGGGATGCGCCTAGCAAGCCAGAATGCAAGCGCGTCCGGACGTAAGACGCATTATTGGTACTTTGGCCTCGTTTTCATCCCGAAAATGTAGTTCATCCTTTAAATTCCAGACATTACACGTGCAGAATTATCGTTTGGTAATAGTCCAAGTCGGTGGCGGGATTACTTGTTAGCGATTAATGCAGCGTTTAATACAGCGGAACGAACTATTTTCAGATAGTCAAAATTATCAAAATATTGTCATTTATTGTTGCACGCACGCGAATATTTATTATTGACACGATGAAATGTATATTAAAAAAAAATGTTGGTTTTTGTAAATATAAACTTTATTTACATGTACATGTTGTCTTTCGATCGCTATTTGTGTTATTGTCTTCGCTTTATTTCTGTCTGACATCGACTTGTCGCAATGTACGTGAAATTGCAGTCCGGAAACGTGACAGAGTGTACAGAACATTAGCACGATGTCGTGCAATCGTGAAATATCAACATCGACAAGCTATTGAGTATTTAGGTTACGCGTGTTTTCTATTGGCCGAGCGAATTATTAAATTCGCGGATCTAACGAACAAGCGACGGGTGGCTTACCTCGTTGGTGTTCCATCGATGCCTCTGAGTTGGAAAGTGTTCAGCTCGCGGCAAGGTTTCCAGATTTTCGGGAAGCTTTATCGGGTCGCCGTCTGCGTGATAAATTATATCAATTAATTGCTGCTTTCTCACCGTAAAATGTGAGATGGTTGGTTGGAACACATCGATTTCAGAAGCGATCTGTTCTCGTTTGCCCGTTACATTATTTAACCGGACTTGACTGAATTTACGTGGCGCGCGTGTTGATCAGCGTGACAATTTTAACAGCAGATCGATACGCGCAATCGTTATTGTGTGTGTCATGAGCAATGAGCATTAGCGCGGCTGCTCGCTCACACTGGCGACCGTTTTAGTATTACGTGGTTGTGTCATTAGCTCTGTTTATACACAACCGATCGAAAAGTCCCATCGATCTAAGTTTATATGTATGTGCACGCTCGCCATAAAATAGCACTTGTAATAGATTGCACTTTCCACGAACACTGCGAACTACCTACTCCCGTTAGAATCTAAAAAAACCTGATGGTCTAAAGATTCTTTACCGAGAATTTTGTAGCACGCTATTTGCACAATTACTTTTTTAAATAAAAGCAAAATAAATATACTTTTCTTGTATGTAAAAAACAAAAAGTTATGTAAAGATCAAAATTATTGTGCACACATATATATACACATATTATACACATATATATACGTGTGTGTTACATACATATATATTGTTATAATCCTATTACATTTGACTTATATGTATTTTCACATTTTATAATTGTTTTAAAGAGTTGTTTATATTAATTTTATAAAATATTATATAAAATAAATATTTTATATAAAAGTAATTATTTAAAAAAGATGCAAAAAGACTTCTTATCCAGAAATTTAAATAAATATTTATGATACGAAAAGTATTTAGCAAAAGATTTTTAGCTTGTGTGTAAAATGTGTGTAAAATTTAAAAAAAATACACAATGTTATTAGAATTATAAATAAGAAAACTTATTCTCTATTTTACAATTACTCTAAAGATATAATATGCATTTTTGAAATTCAAGTACCAGTTTCTTTCTGAACCAGAACATCACGCAAAAAAAAAAGAGAGAGAGAGAAGGTTTTTATTTACTTGACAAAATGCTTCCGTATTGTAGTTTGCGTTTCCTCTAGATATTATTGATATTACGCATAGAACACATGTGTGCTTTCTCGTTCGTATCCATCGTGATATATCGACGACATTAGGCATCATGCGTTTAAACTGTCGTCTTTTGTGAAATAAATGTGGAATACGATATGTAACAACACCTCATATAAACGTTTTTACTTATTTTACATTGTTTATTATACTCCATTACTTAACATAAACTTTGATATATCCTTTGTTGCAATCTTTTTTGAAAATAGTGCACGTGTAAACTTTTCAACACACGCACACACACACACACAAAGCTTGCAAGAAATAATGACAGAAACGAGGACAAATATGGCGAACCATATTTTTCTGAAACGTCAGAAATTGTGTTATATAAAAGTTTAGTTAAGTTGATCGCGATCAGGAAATTCTTTATGGTCGTATAATTTACAGCAACCTTGTTATTTAGTAACCTTGTTATGCTTTAATTACCTGCACGAAAAAATATACATATATATTAAAAGTTCATTGCTCAAGTGCATTTTCTGCATAAGAGTTTCTTGATTTTTCTACGGGATTGAAAAACTCGGAATATAAAGTGTAACGTTGTGTAACGTTTAAACATATATTATTATCTATTCAACATAATTATTTACTCAGTCCAATTTCTTCCCTATAGAAATTTTCAACTCAAAGTTCAGTGAACAAAAGTTTGCGTTTCCCGAAATGTATGCAGAATAATCTATTCCAAGTTAACGAGAATTATTCGAGTGAATCAAATATTTATCTAAGTGCGCTTAGCTTTCGGTCACTCGTGGCTTATACAATATTCATTGAGATTCGCGAAACTTGCCGAAACTAGGTGCCATTAAATAAACTTTCAATCATAAGTGCGATACTTAAGAGCACACAGTTGCCGCGGTTTCCTAGATTTCATAATAGCAAAGTGATATCTATTGACCTAGAACTTTTTAACATCACGATGTTACTTAGTCAAGTGTATCGTATAATGTAAAATAAATATATTGCACAAGTGCTCTTTCAAAAGCAGAGTGAGAAAAAGAGTGAATAATAAAAAAAAAAAAACAGACGTACACATTAAAACGGTAGAGTTTTTAGATTTTCTAATTTTTATAAAAATGATTGACAAAACGGTAGAAAATAAATTTGCTACTCGGAAACATTTATAATACAAATTTTAAAACTTAAAATTTAATAAAATAAAATACACTCTGTAGATAGTAGCGATAGTGTTGAAAAAAAGAAAGCAAAAGAGTAAACAACAACCGTCAGCAAATTGTTTTAAAAACAATTTTTTCTTCGCTTATAAAATAATATAAACTCAAAGTAAACGTTAACAATAATCCTTTTGAATAATAAATTTTCGTAAAACATTTGGAATTTTTCTAAACTTTAAAAAAAAACTAAGCTTGATAATCTCGCACTTGGTGTGATCTAACGCGTAAAAAAACGCGGAGTTTTCTACTGTTGGATGCGTAAACACTAGGTAAACTCACTTGGGGCAAGGGGCGTCGGGTAAGTCGCGTGGTAGACGACACGCTGTGGGTTCGAGTGATTGTAACCCGCCATCTCCGTGATGCTGGCGCGTACTCGCGCTGCTTGGATCTTACCGATCGCCGTGGCCGATCGTCATCGTCCTTGAGCATAGGCGAGACGCGAGCGTAGCTGGGCCCTGCTGGGCATCTCTGAATGGATCCTTTTTCTTGGTGGAGTCGCCGCCTGGTTCGGTGACGACGATCGCGTGTCTGATATGACGGTTATACGCTGATGATCGCGCTGCTTCGAGCGGCACGAGTTGAGAACACAGTCCTGTTTTCGTCAGGACAGCTTGCCGATCGTGGCTTCCAGAACGCAGGGACGGCGCTCGGATTGATGTTGTCCTCGTGAAGGTTGCGCTCCCGGATGACGACGACTCTCTTTAGAACGGCAGGACATATCCCCCAGAGGAGCGCGCACACGAGCTGGATTATTATTATATTCGGAGAACGGATATCGATCGACGGTTGTCGCGAGCGCGTCGTGTCTCGATTCTTCCGTTAAATCTCCTTTCGCTCACTCTCTCGAAGCAAGAGAGAGATCTCTCGCGATTGAGCTTCTCGCAGTTTTGTCGCGCCGAAGGACACACACGTGGAGGTGCACGCGGAAACACGAAACAGAATCGATTTCCGTCTCACTTCTTTTTTTTCGTGTACCTTGACTTTTCCGATTTTCTCTTTTTTTTTTTTTGCCCTCGCTCTCACTCTTTCACGCTTTTTTCTTAGATTCTTTTGCTAGTATAAAAAATTGGAGCTCCATTGATTTTTTTTCTACATCACGCGGTCCGGAGCCAGCCTTCTTCTTGAACGTCCTTAAATTTTCCTTCGTCGTTCCCTTCGTTCTCTTCTGATGACAGCTTCTCGCGATTTTCTCTTCCCCTTGTTTTTTCCAAACGTTCTTTTTTACCGTGAACGCGTTGTCACGTATGTCACAATTGACACTTCTTCCTCCTCTTCTTCTCTCGTTCGAAATTCCAGTCTCTCGTTGCTCTCTCTTTTTGTTGAACGCTCCGGAACTTTTTGTGTGTAGTTTTCTTATATCCTAAGTTACAACACTGAACCCGTCCCCATCGGGGGGACAAAATAATGTAAGGGTCACACAGTATAGAGAGAACTTAAAATGCGATTATCCCGTCTTCCGTAAACAGCCGACGCACGCTCTTCTTCGTGATATCTCGCTTCTCTCTTTCTCTCTCTCTCTCTCTCTCTCTCTCTCTCTCTCGCGATCTTCCTTTCTCCCGTTCTCTCGTTACTCTCCCGTGTTCCGATCTCTTCACTTCCGTTGTACCGCGCACTCGTTTTTTCTGATAGAGAAATAACTTGAGAAAATAGACAACTTTTCTATCTTTTGTTGCTGATTCTTTTGTGTTGGTGCTTGTGTGTGCGTGTTGTATTACGCGTTCGCTTAGGAAAAACCGGAAATGCAATTACTTCGTCGTACGTCCCACTCTCTCTCTCTCTCTCTCTTTCTCTCTCTCTCTCTCTCTCTCTCTCTCTCACACACACTCTTTCTCTCACGCTCTCCTTTTCTCTCACCCTTTCTCTCGTTCTTGCTTTTTCTCTTTCTGTCCGGCCGTGCGCGCTCTTTACCACTTCGTTATCTTCGTGCCTTCTTTTCTTTTTCTTTTCCCTCCTTTCTTTTTGCAGACGGTTGTCAGACGACGGGTGTAAAGTTTACAGAGAGTCCTTATATAGGAGAAGTGTGTTGTTGCTGTTGCTGCTGTTTCGTGTTTACAGTGTTATTTACAAGTATGTAATGTTTTTGTTTTTGTTAATAAAATAGTTCAAATTAGTCTTTTGGCCCCGCGTGTCTGCTCCCGAGCGGCGGGAGCCGCAGAGTGAGGCAGCTCGCGATTCTCGACCTCCGTCTCCACCGTTCCTCTCGCCCCTCGCTTCACCTCTTCGTTCCACTCTTCGTCCCCTCCACGCTCTGGCTCGGACTCTTCCAGCCCCTACCAGTATCGCTAGCACCACCACCACCACCACCACCACCACCACCACCGTCACCGTCACTGCCACCCCGTGAGGACGATCGTTCTCTCTCTATCTCTTTCTCTCGTCGAAGTCCAACTATTCGGCCCCAGCCATAGCTCCCGCCCTTATCCCTCGTTCCTGTCCACGGGTGTCTGCCGAAACTCACCCTCAGCACCTCTAACATCTCGCCACCTTTATTCTCCTTTACCTTTTTCCAACTTGTTCAATCTTCCTCTCTCGGTCTCTTTTCCTCACTATTTCCTCCCCTTCCTCAAGCACCTACATCTACTTACCACCTTTACGCTTAACAATGTGTGTGAGTGCACCCTCGTGCCAATTCCTGTGCGAAGCTACCGATGGTATGCCGTTCGTTACCTACCTACCTACCTACCTACCTATCTACCTACCAACCTACCTACCTAGCTGGTTGACTATCTACTCTCGGTGTACTCGTTGGAGTTGTAAATTAAGGATTACCGAGGATGCAAATTAATGTCGAGGCGTACGTATAGAGAGAAAAAGAGACAAAGAGAGAGAGAGAGAGAGACGCGCGTAAATCAGCCGTTTGTTGTCGTTGCGCGAAACGAAGTGTGTTGCACTGCTGCGATCAAGATCTCGCGAGATAATCATTCGTTATCCGGTCCTCGGTGGATTCGTCCCCATTTGCGCATCTCTCGTTCCAAATAATTCTCACACACCGTCGACAAATCGACGCTCATACGTCTCGCGCCTCTGTCGTCGTCAAAGCCTATAAATTCACGGCGATTTTACTGAAAGCGAGATGGACGAGAGTTTCGCGAAGTAATCGTCGATTTGCATGCGGAACGTAACCTTGAACGCGATACGCCGCAAGGTTCGGAAGAAGAAACGACAAAATAATACGCGACTCATATATATGGAATCCGCAAAGTGGAACGCATTGAAAAATCACGTTACGGGTGTGATAAATGAAAAATTGGAAAACATTTAAATGGTAAATTCAAGAAATTTCGCGTTTGACAGAACTTGTTTAACTTATCGAGAGGTCATATACATTATTATACAATTCTTAAATAACATTACGCTGTTAACAGAGTCAATTTACAGAAGTTTGCAATTGCAACGCACGCCGGCTCGAGAGAGAACGAAATTACGTACGCGAAACGCATATAACCGAGTTACCTGTAGTTTACAACGTAAAGTTTATTATATATAGTTGTATATAGAGATAAGATTCATGACAAAGCATACGAAAAGCATCGTTAACGTGGAGAAGGTCTGTGAAAATCGTAAACTACTTGATATAAGCTCTCGTGGTTGCGCAAATAATTTGCCTGGTAAAGATAAACTTTATGTTGCCGCTGACGTGCGCGCAGGCATTGAAGAAAACCGCACACAGTTTCTTTGAGACTCCCGTAGCGATTTCCCACATCCCGAAAAAGTAATTTACAAGATTATACATTATTCGGATTGCGACCGTAAATGCACAGACTGGAACGGCCGTTTCGGAATTTTATCGCAAAAAAGATAGCCTTAACCTTACCGAAAACAATCGAAAGGTACTATTCAGGTTTTATATCAACAAGAAAAATAAAGCCGAGAGCTCATTTCTTTGATTCATAAATAAAGAACGAACGTCGCATGTAACACATATAAAATCCTTTGATGCATTTTAAATCAATTTCAGCTTAACAGGGTCTTTTATTCAAATCTTTGTGTGTGTGTGTGTTATACTTAAATAATAATGTTTCAAATAGCTAAACTGACACGGCAAACAAATAAATTATTTTTCACTAATTATCGAAAAAAAAGATGATATATACATTCCGAATACACTCTGAATTATCGATTAAAAGGCTATAGAACGGTTAAAATACTTGAAAAAAAAAAATCCTCTTAGTGACGAAAATTAGTTAAGAAACATTAGAAACATCATTGTAAGCAGCAGGACAGTCAAAATTGGATCCGATGCACTTTTTCACGTACGTCTCCTGAAATCTTCGTTGTGAAGAGGAGAAGCGACCGCGACGAAGAGAGATCTAAACGATATTCCTCTCACAATCCACGAGACGCAGGCCAAATCCTTTCTGAGACTTTGCACCTATACACATGAATCCTGCAGTCGCTCGTGCCACGAGAGTCGTACGTTTGCGCGCGACTGGTGTGTACCCCAGGCGCACATGTACGTACATTTTATATATATATATATATATGTATGTATGTATATATATATATATATATACACACAGTAGTATATATGTGCTTATAAGCGGGGCATGACACAGCACACATCGGATTCTCGCAGAAGGTTCGTGTCGAATTTTAATGGAGGTGCTGCCACCTTCCAGTGACCTCTGGAGCCAAGCCGCGCCAGGAGGGTCAGTCCTGTAGAGAGCGACTTGCGAAAGAAGAAAAAAGAAAGACAGTCAGCCAAGGGTGAAGCGCAAGGGGTGAAAATCACTCAGGCGCCCCTATCGCCAATCTGATTAATGGATAAATTCATGAGTTAGGTATTTATATGGATTTAAGCGCGCGCGCCTGTATGGCGCGCACGTAGCTTTAGAGCCTCGCTAAATTGACAAGTGCGAGGGCACGTGGACACGTGTACGGGAGATCACGAGTACGTTGTGCGCAATGTACGTACAATCAGGGATATGGTAACTTTTTCTATTGCTCTAAGTCATTTTTTGAAGATATGTGATGCACAATCATGTTTAAAACATTTTGATTAGAAATATTTATACTTTTTTTAAATGTATTTATTGAGATAATTTGCAAAAATATATATATACGCATCTTAATTGTGTAAAATAGAGAATATAATGTTTGCGTGTCAGAATATTTGAATTCTCTTAACTATACAAAAAACTTTAAAAATAGTTGAAACAACAATATTAAAATATACAATGTGCAATAAAATATCAAACTAAATCATCACGATGTCTGAAAAATTTAGAAAAGTTTTGTAGTACTTTTCTTACGATCTATAGATATTATTATTATTATTTTATATTTTCTGTTCACGTAGTTTAAGATAGATTTTAAGTGTTTTTGACAACATTATCTAGGATTGTTTTCAACAGAATTACCTGGAGCTTAATTTTCGATTTTATATTTACCCAATCTGCACAAATCCGCTCCTGATTCGATTAGCTTCCAATCGCACGCGGTTTCTGTCACGTTAAGCTTGTAATTTATTCGTAGCCCGGTAATTGAGCGAATCTCGTGTCAGCAAAATGAAACAAGCTCCCGCTTTTCAATCCTCAGTGAATACGAGGCCACTCCGATTTATTTCCTTCTGTGAACATCATATCGGGGTCGCGATATGCAGTCAAATTCAATCACAATTATTATTTTTGACGCAGAATCGTTTTAATTCTTTCTACTTTGATTTGAACATTGTTCTTTCACACGACAAATAAAATTATAAATTTTTTTTCCACAATTTACAACTTAATAAAATCTCGCTTGTTAAAGATACTTCGTTTACTTTTTTTTTTTTTTTGATATATTTTTGTTTGATTTATATTTAAAACAGAGTAATATACATCTCTATTTCTAAAAACGTGGAAACGTGTTTGTCTTTGAAATGCAAGCATTTACGAAGCTCTTCATGTCCATGTTACGTCGCACACTGTTAAACTTCGCGTACACGATTCTGACGGTTCGGCTGTTGACAAAGTAAACACGCATTAAGCTACACATACATCATTCACGATTACACACGTTCTACTACTCGCGTAGGCAGAAGTGGAACGCACGTGCGAGATGATTTCTGACCGTACCCGACATATGGCCAGAAATGATTACAATTGTGTTCCTTCGAGCTGATCCGCCAACTAATTTTTGGGTCCGTGCCGAGTTCACCCGCGCCTTGCCACCACTCCATGATATTCGTCTCGACTCGGCTATCGAAACAGAGCGTTAGTTATACATATAGTTCTCGGTTTGTTTCACTTTGATTTATGGTGGCGGTGATACAAAAACGCCACGGGCAAAGCGGAGCAAGCAGGACTGACATTTCTACGGCAAAAACAACGGCTCGCCGATGTGAAGAGCCGACGGAGCAATAATTCTTCCCATCATCTATCATAATTGAAATCAAACGAAAAAAAGAATTTTATATAAAATTTGCATCGTGTCACGTATAAATTAGTTGCAGAAAATACATGTTTTCTTCTACAGATTGATACGTATACTATATACATATATAGGTATGCGTGCCTTAAATGTTTTAGAAATTGAAGAGTGCAATTGTGCGTGTTTTAAAAACTGTAGCTATATATTAATTGAATTTTAACAATATTTGTGCGGAATCCGTTTTTTCAATCTGGTAAAAAAAAAAAACATTTTCTCAGCCTCAATAAAGTTATTATTCCATGTGGCGCATCAAACATTTAAGTAGCGTAATTCGTCATTCAATGTATAAAATAAAAAAATCGCCGAAATCTCTCGTTTTCGTGTTGACAATACTTTACCACGAAAACGTGACGCGCAACGTTTATTGAACATT